TTCAGACGTCCAACGTAGATACTCTTAACGTAATATTTACCCGAGAAACAGACTGGATTCACCTCACACAGAGTGGCTTCCTGCCTTGCAAGTGTTTGTTCAGGAAATCTGCACATGCAGTTGACTGTGGGTCCATCTTGTATAGTTGATATCTATATTTTGACATGTTTACACCTTATCAAAGAAGAACAAGTGCATTACTATTACTTTATCGTGTATACAATCTCAGAAAACCACTTTTGTGCCTGCAGAATGATCGAAATCGGGATTGCCCCTCCTGTAAGTCATCTCAAGCGAGGGCCCCTCTCATGTGTCATCTTTAATTTGTAGCATTTTGTAAACAGGGATTTTGGCTTGAGCTGCTCAGAAATATGTGTAAAGTACAAACAGTTATATGGCTGAAGTCAAAGAGGGCGAAAGCTGCAACCAAGCAAGTAGAGAATTCCCCTGTGGATTAATGTCTAGACCTGAATTCCAACCTTCACATCCATAAAGAGCAGGTTTCCACTTCACGCAGAAAGCCACATCATGGAGGCATGAGTGTACACATATACTGTATATGCATCTAAGAGGAGCAGCTTATAGTAGGAGTGTTGATCAAAAGGCAAACACAGGCGGCTTCTCAGGGGAAAGGAAACCTATTGTCGCTGTGATTGTTTTGTCTACTTCCATCGCATTTATGGGGTTTTAGAGCAGACGTATAGTTTTTAACTTGGCACCCTATCTGTCCATGTAATGCTCTGGCTCTACTAAGTATGTTCGTTTGCTATGACTGTTTGCGTAAAATAATCTACATTCAGCTGGGGATGTTATGAAAGTAAAACTGCTCTTGAACAAGTAGGACCAGTGTTTTGTCTGAAACATACTTTATATGTGTCCTGCTTTTTGCTAACAACAATCTCCCCACTGTTACCTAGTGGGAGATTACAAATGAAAGTGCCATATTTGTTGCTGATTAAGGCTGCCCTCGGTAAGCTTCAGCCTCTCTGGAATCATGTAGTGTATCAACAGCATGGCACTAGGATAAGGTACCACCCATCCAACCTTTTCATTCAGATATGTCAGTCACTTTTCATGAGAGCAACTGAATCTTCCATCTGATTATCAGATCTTGCTCCCTTCAGTGATGGACCACTTTTCACACCACCTTTGAATGTGAATGTTTACAGAAGCTATAAATACATAGTTTTTGGATGGCTTATCGTCTAAAGATTTAGGATTTGGATTTAGGTTTATGTATGGCTTAGACTCATCTCAATTCCCCCTCAAACCCTTGGCCCTACCACTTTGTGGCTCAGGCTCAGGTGACTCAGGTGATAGAGCAACCTCCAATCACAAGGTTGGTGGTTCGATCCCCCGCCCCTTCACAGTCGAAGTATCCTTGGGCAAGACACTGAACCCAAAGTTGTTCCCAATGGCAGGCAGCACCTTGTATGGCCGCTCTGTCAACATTGGTGTATGAATGTGTGTGAATGAGTGAATGAGAAACACATTGTAAAGTGCTTCGTATAAAAGCGCTATATGAGTGCAGACCATTTACCATTTACTTTGTGCTGCCATGTAGCAAAGGGTGTCCTGTTTGTTTTAGGGATCTAGCAGTAGTGGTCATCTCACGATCTGGAAGACTTGGGAATGTGCGTTTGTCTCTGCAGGAAGAGCACAGGAGGTGAAACATGTGATTGAAATGTGAACAGTCCAGCTTTAATTCCACACCCTAAAAGCAGCAGTGCAGCTCACTGAGAGATTAAAACAGAAGAAAGCCATACAAGTCAGCACAAAGGGATTGTCTCTGCCTTTTTTATGAACTGTAAAATCCTCAGAAATCATCATATATCAAAGGGAATTTTTTGCTCAAAGCCCTTAAGCTTAGGTTCTGCAAGGTGTCAAAAACCTCTGTGGATGGAACAATTACAGATGAAGTAGCTTGGATATCTTTGATCGTCTGCCAATCACAGAGATCTCTATTACTGTTGAGTTATGGGATTATTCTCCTAATAGCTAAATGAGCTTGTCGTGTGAGATGAAATGTGGCAGAGTGAAAGAGTTCTCTTTTCCAACAGTCTTTTGCCTCCTGGAAGAAAAACCATAGTCGTCAAAAGTGCTTTTGAGCAATTGTGAGTTAAGGTGCTTCTTGGACAGGCTTCCTCACAGTTTTGCTTTATGACACATACTTCACACAGCCAGTAACATAATGGCTGATATTTAGATTTGCTTGTATACTACTAGAGAAGGATTTAATAGGTATCAGTGTGGTAAATTTTTGATGAAAAGATGTCCAGCCTAACCAGCTGGCTTTCGGTAAGTAGCAGCTGATTAGGATGCAGACCCTCTTAAACCCAGTCCTGTGCATTTGTTTTTAGGGGTTTGTGTTTTTGAGAGGTCAAGCATCGTGTTCAGCCGCAGATGATGATGACCTGACCAAGAACAAAAAGCAGACCTTATTTATTGATTAATTCATCTCTATGCCTCAGATAAGACCGTTAACTATTTTCTAGGGAAAAAGCAGGTCAAAGCCGGGTGTCATGATCACAATCACGGAGGTTTTCTTATGCTTCGTGACATTGTATACAGAGTTTTTAACTTAATCTTATTTATGTCCTATATATATATATATATATATATATAAATGAAACAAAAAAACCCCAAAAACAACAAAGCTGGATTACCAACTAGGCAAAGGTGGTAACTGCCCTAAAATTGCAGATACTCTGGCTTTGTTATGTGGTAATTAGTTTGTGGTCATACCTTTGATTGCACCTTATAAACTGAAATAATAGGGGCAATTTCTCTTTAGTTCATGCCTACAGGTCCACAGGGATGGATTCATCTAGCCCTGGGAATAAAGTGTTTCTACACCAAATAGGATAGGTTTCTTTCACTCCTATGTTAAACTTCTGACCTCTAGAATCAAAATACAAAAAAAAAAAGTCATCAACACCACAGATTACAGTTCTCACTGGTATAGAAGAATGGAGTTAGAATAGGAATCACATAAATTATCACCTGCTTAAAAGCTGGCCTGTAAACAGTGGAAGTGCTGCTGTAAATACACTTACAGAAATACAGAAAACATGCATCTTGTGATTGGGCTGTGGACTCAGATATATTTCCTAGGGGACCATCACAAACTTATGTAACAATTATAGGGCAGTGTGCTCCAGAGCCGTAACTGCAGCCATGTGAAAAGCTTTCCTGTGCACTCAAATGTAACTTCCACAGTGCTGACCAGGTGGGTGTAACTTGGTGATGTGGCACCATGGCACACCAAGCCTGAAAATAGTGCTTGCCTCCGTCTGCAGCCTGGCATCACACAACTATTTATTCAACCACTGCCAGCGTTGGACAGCAGCTCCTCTCCAGGCTACCAGACCTGCCAGCAATGAGCCAGCAGCTGAGCTAGCTAAAAAAATCAAAAGCTTCACATTTCTGAGAGAAATTCCCAAACCTACCGCAGCACAGGGTGAAAGAAATACTGTCGGCTGTCTCACATCAAAACCTCCAGTCATGAGTAAAGACTGAGTGTTCATGGCAAAATAACACAAGTCAGCATTTCACAAGAGGAGCGTACTAATTACATCAATTGTGGCCTCTGACTCTCAAAACATGAGGAAATAGTGTGAAACCTGCTACCGTGAAAGATTTCCCCCTTTGACTCAGGAAAGCAAGTGTGGCATGTGTATTTGCTCTGGTGCTGCATTTAAACTTCTTGAAATAAGGAGAAGCTTGCTAAAATTGAACATTTTCATCCTGTGTATCCTCTGACTGCCAGGTGCAACATCATTTTCCTATTTACTTCTCTCAGCCTTTAGCGGTGGTCAAGGGTTAACACTCAGGGACTTGAGTCACACTGTGCTGAACAAACATAGTGCTGACAGTTTAGTGAGGAGCTGCAGGGTCGAGTTGTAAGAAGCAACTGTCTTTGTCAAACAATGAACAGATGGCGAGTCGGTCAGTGCTGTTTGTTGAACAGCCCGTACCCGCTGGTCCACCGCACTGACCGTGTCCATCTTAACAGATCATTTAGTCTGATGTGCTGTCTCCGAGGCCCATTTTTATATAGAGGAGCTGAGAACTAGATAGTACAAGGAGAAAGCATCATTTTGAGAGAGTATTTATATTAAGTTTGACTTAACTTTAAAACAAGGCACAGTAATCAAAATCTAACTCCAGTGGTTTGTTTTTTTTCTAAACTCAGATATCAGTGTTCTCTGGAGTCCATCAACACATCGGTTACTGGCCATGAAAAAATGTAATCGTATAATCCGACTCAAAATATGTAAAGAACCATAACATTTTATGCCACACATTGAGAAATGAGCATGGTGTCCATCTATATGGGCAGCTATGCAAACAGCCACACTGTCTTCAGACAACAGGCACAAATGATTTGTTTATCAAAGCTGCTTTGAATGGCTAATCAAACGTCTCATAATTACCAATGCCCTTGCCTCACAAAAAAAAACACTTTTCTCTGCCCATTAGAGGCATATAATACATAGATTATTCACAATTTTATGTCATCGTTTGATGTTTTAGCTACATCAGTTAGTTGTTCTGTTGTATGGCTATCAGATGTGATCTGTTGACTTCCAGGACCCTCTAGCATCCCCATCAAGTTGAAATTTGGATGAATTGTATGTAGTGAAAATATGGCGCACATGTATGTCCTGCTCAGGATGAAAGATAACTTTCCAACTTTTTTATTGTCAGGCCAGAATTTGTCTAAAATTTGGTTTATGACCAAATACTTGCAAAAGTAATGACAGCACAACTAGTACTTATTAGCACGTAAACTGAGCGTTGAACATGGTAATGATTTACCTGCTTAGCATGCGAGCACAGTCGCATCTAGCTAGGTCTCTGATTCTGTACTAGGACAGAACAGTTTTTAAACAGCTTTAAAAGTGTCTCTTGTTGTCATGCTCCATCATGTTTTTAATCTATTACACAGTGAATATTGAACAGGATGAATTTTCACCTGATTTCTCTTTTCTTCTCAGGTTGGATCTCCTCAACAAAGTAATTGACCAGAGAGAGGGTAGTTCCTTAACTTCAGGAAGCCAGACTAACAGCATTGTCCCATCTTCAGCCCCCAGCCAATCCCCAGAATGGCTGCCGGGTTTTCTGAGACATGTACCAACATCAGGAGCAAGAGCAGCCTCTCCTGATCTGGCATGGGCACGACCTTCTGAGGCTTTGCAGATGGAGCACAGGGCCCTAAGAGCTCGCCGTCATGCCCACTCGGGATCACGAGGGGGTCACCACTACCCTCACCACGCCCAGCTGATGAGAGTGGGTTGTGTCCTGGGAACCTGTCAAGTTCAGAACCTCAGCCACCGGCTCTATCAGCTCATTGGCCAGAGTGGCAGAGAGGACTCGTCCCCCATTAACCCTAAGAGCCCCCATAGTTATGGATGAGCTGGTTTCCTTTAAACACCCACAGCAAGTCTATCTGTATCTCCCTTTATTTATCTCTTAATGTGTTACTGGTAGTCTTCGCATTAGTATTGGATGTAGACCATAACTTGAGTTACACTCATCTTAAATGACCATTGCCTCTACTTTTTGTGCATGAATGATGGATTTGAAGAATCAGAATCAAGATCTTGACTGACTGAGTTCTCCCACAGTTCTGAAAACATTTTGAAGGACGTTTAAGTCTTTTCGATCCCCCCGAACACTCAACAGAGGCCAAGAGGCCTTGCACTGACATTTTAATCCTGTTAATGTAATAACGAAGGCTTGTCTTTAACACCATCCAGTGGCCTGGTCCTGTCTGCCAACTGACCTCCCCAGCGGTGGTTATCCAGCGGCTCATTGATCAAACCCCTAAGCCCCTAATGTGGATTTCAAGCTGCACTCTGAGCCGGAGCCCTGCCAAAACCAATGTATTCCCAAAGACCTTGTAAGTGACCCAATGAACCCTTTTACCTCTCTTTGTGCCCCTCTTTTGGTTGACTTCGGAGCTCATATGCAGTTTAACAAGAACATCCCTCGACTCGTCCACAGGATCTAAACTGAACTGGGAATTCATCACTCAGCAGGACTTTATGTTTCAAGACCACGATTTATAATTGAAACCAGCCACAGCACTTGAGATACGCCAGAGCTGAAGAGATTTTGAGTCTGAACTTCAACAAACAAAGTCACACCAATAAAGAAAAAGAAGAGGGTCAGAATCCCATGCTTTGGAAGGAATGCAAACAGAAACAGAGTCCCCTAAGGATCAGTTTCCTTTTTACATTACAGTGCTCAGTTGGTTGACACAGTCGGCGGCAAAGTGAACCTTGGAGCCATGGATCAGCACTCTACTTGCTGGCATTTTCCCTGCTGGAGGCCAAGTCTGAAATATTAGCCTTTTCACGTGATTTATAAGTTCCCCCTGCAAGTCAGGACTTTGGGCTGACAGCAGTTTAATAAACCTGACCTAATCACTTCAGTCATATGTACCGCGGCAGCAGGAGGGGGGCCTGAACCTCCTACAGTCTGCAACACTAAAACATACATGAAAAGAACGAAGCATTCACACATACGTTACACACACATGCAGGTTTAAAGTTTGCAGGTATAAAAACTTTGGTTCACCAAAATGGCAAAACAAAAATCCCATTTTATCATATCTACAGATATCTTCTGTAGATTTTACAGAGTGATGTGTGCTGTAGAAAGGACACGCTAGTGTTAAATCTTTACGTTTTTTTGCAGTGTTATGAGAACCCCAAACTAACCTTGCATTCTTTTGGTTGAACTGAGCCAAAACACAATAAAGTAACTTACATGGGACCAATTAGGCAAACTGGACTGGGGGAGTTCTGTAAAAGCGATGCCAGTGTGTGTTTGTTTGTGTGCGTGTGTGTACAAATTAGTATATATCAGAATTTTAGAACCAGGTTTTGTGTTCCAAGAGATGTTTAGGGCATGATTTTCTTTCTTTAGAAAAAAAGAAAAAAGAAAAGAAAACAGAAAAATGTATTTGGCTTTTGCCTTAATTTAATGGGACAGTGTAGAAAGATAAGGAGCACAGGCAGAAAACAGCCCAGCCAGCCAGGGCTTGAGGCAGGGATCCTCTGCTCTAGACGTGTTCGTATTACGTACTAGACATGTATCGCACCAGGGAATGGTCTTCTGTGATTTCGAAGCACTTTTCTCTTTATACCATCCAGGTTGAGGCCATAATGACCTTCTACAACTCCGCAAGTCCAACAATAATAAGTCAAATCTGTAAATAAAATGCATTTACCTGTAGATTTATTGGGGAACACTACTTTTTCAGAAAATGTCAGTTGTCCCTTACGTTTTCCAAAAGCAACACTTGACAACATATACTGCTGCACTGTTGCTGTTCATATGTTTAATGGGTTTAACTTAGTCCAGAGACGACAGCTAAAAGCTTTACTGTTACATTGTGGGTTTGTAATGAGAGACCACAGTGACCAAAATGTTAGGCGTAACAACACCCAATTTCAAATATGTACACAAAATAGCGTAGCACCATCAAAAAACACATACCCTGACATTTCCTTTCACTCTATTTTTGTCCAACTCTGAAATGGTGGGTGGATGATGGACTGAGAATTACTGAGGTCAAGCTCTTTTTTTTTTTTTTTTTTTTACTAAAAATTCTACGGGCCTTAAACGTTCCACACAAAAAAACTATATAACCCCGCATTTTTGGTGACAAGCATCATTATATTACATATTATTTACATACTTCTACACTTCTATTCCAAGCCTTTACTATATGATAGGCTGCTCTTAACTTGCAGAGTGTGCTATTGTAGGAATGCAGGTCACTTTCAGATTTTTGTGCATTATTATTTTGTGTTTTTTTGCCTGATTTCACAACATGAAAGTTTGGTATTCCTGCCAGAGCACGAATTTAGGCTCACTAAATACCTGATGATACTTGACGAATCAAGTGACTTTACAGTATGTGATCTACATCATATAGTAGTTTGTTCTTTTATATCTTAAAGATTTTTTTTTTTGTTTTTTTTTTCTTGGTGTCTTTGTAAGTTTTGTCATCTGCAATTTGTTTTTATATTTAGTCTTTTTGTTCTGCTCTGTGTGTAATCATGGGGGCTGGGAGGTCACAGGGTAATATTAATCAGTGGTTCCTTGGTCTTAAGTCTAATCTGTTCAAAGGCTTGCTGAGGTGAAACATGCCATTCTCTCTGCTGTAATGGAGCAAATCATTGTCTCGTGACAGATCATTAAAAGGCTTTCAAACGCTAAAAAACCCTGGTGGATCTCTCTACTTTGTAAAAATTCACTATTTCACACACACACACACACGATGCATGTGTGCGTATGTGTTTGCACTGCTACCCTATCAGGACGCTTATCTCCTGTGTTTGATCGGCGCTCTTGACCATTGTGCTCCCAGTCTTTCTGTTTTTGTTTTTTTTTTCCTTTTTACGCAGTATGTTTTTGTGACATCAGACATTGCGTCATGTGGAGGTACATGACCGCTAATACCTCCCCACAGAAAACATTTAGAGCCCCTCACAGCTCCTTATTGCAAAAACACGTGCAGGAATGAGTTTAAAAATGTTTCTGTTAGTTTAGCTAGATCGCTATAGGTTTGTTTTTGCTGATTTGGGATTCACACGATCTCCTTTAGTGTCACAGGAAAGCACTTTATTGCAAGCATGTGTGTGGATAGTTTGTCACAACTTGAATTTGGTTCATTGTCATGAACTTGTGAAAGCTGGATGCGGCTCCTCTTGTAAATGTTGCTTTTGAGATTGTCTGCCAATGTGTTTGAAGATGTCAGTGCACTCCATGTGGCGTCAAGATAAACATTGTGTGCACCTGTGAATATATATGTATATATATATATCAAAAATATTTAAAGAAAGTTATGTATTTAAGTTATCTTTGTATGTTCATATCTGTATGTCACCAAAGACTATTTATCTCATCTTTTCCTGCTCTTTTCACACAGTAGGAAAGAAAGTCTTAACTGTAGTTAAAATGTTAATGTTTGACAATGTCCTTCATTCTGTAAAATAAAGACCTATACTGTAGTGTGATGAGTTTAGAGTATGATTTAAGAGTGTGTGTGCATGTATTCCTAAGACATATAGGCCTACATTATAGAGTGATCCCCATATGTATTATTGAGTTTTTTTTAAGTTTCACCCTTCTGCATGTTACTACGCCCTTGACCAACTGTTCTAACCCAATACAATGAAGTCAATCATTATAGGACAAAAGTGTGATGGGGGACAGAGGACAGTGTGAATGAAACATTGAGAAATCAGGACATGATCTGATAGCGCCAGGTTAGCAGTAAAGGTCGTTTGACTGGACAGAGGTAATGATTGACAGGGTCCAGGGGGATTGTTCAGAGGAAGACAAGCTATTGGTTTGTGTCACATCCGGTCAAGGGGAGGACACAGGAAGGGCAAGGCAGGACAGCTGGACTCAGAAATGTATATATTTCCAATTTGCTCATTTACACAACCAAAACCAACAGCAAATATAGATTTGAAAACATTTCTTGAAGCTGCTTTGGAAGCAGAAAGTTGAGGTCATCAGCATCACAGCAGCTAACCTATTATTGTCCCACTGCTGGGCCACATCATCACATACCACTGGTCTGGAGCCACTTGTTCCACTTCACTTTAGCTCCAAGCTGGTGACAAATGAAATGAAACTGCTTCTTGTCCTAGATTCTCAACAATAATTCATTATGGACAGTGCTAGTTTAAACAAATATACAGAAATAGAAATGCTATGTAAACCTCTTTTGAAATGTTCTGACATATAATGTTGTTTTGCATCGGTAGTTTACTGTCTTATCCTGTCTTTTAAAGTGGAAAATATATTGTGAATAAAAATGCAGATTGAATTAATATCTCTAACCTGAAAAAAATAATTACTTTTAGCAGTGCTTAGTATGATCTGCAGAAATTCTTTAATCCAACTGAATTTTACCTATAGAGTACCAAATACAAACAACAACAACATACAGGCACTTCACACAGTGAGGCCAAAAGAGAAATCCAGTATTCCTTTTTCAGTAGCAATAGTTTGTATTTGTGAAGAAAAAAAGACCTTAAACAGAGGTGGACTCCTGGTGTCTGTCTCAACTGGCAGGAGGAATTACTGCATACAGTCCAAAGAACCTTTTTATACAGTGCCTTCAAAAAGCATTCACCGCCCTTAGTTTTCCGTTTATATTGCTTTAAAACACTGAGTTCTTGTCAGTTTATTTTTTGACAATTCATTTTTGACAAGAATTTACAAAAAAAAGAAAAAAAAAAGAAAAGACTCCCTTGAAGTACAGTTTAACTCCATCCTAAAGAAATGGAAGGAACAGGCCACATAGGTAATGTAAAATGTTGACAGCATGCTGCCTTAAAAAAAACTGAGTGGGAAGAGAGGTGAGGTCAGCCACGAAGACACCTCGAAGACACACGATGACTCCTCTTAAGATGTTTAGAGCGTTAGCAGCTGAGATGGGCGAGACTGGGCATACAACAACTATGTCAATGGCAAACAGAAAGCCACTGTTGAAAAAAGCTTATATTAAACCTCAACTTGAGTTCACCAGAAGGCATGTTTGAGACTCTGAAGTCAACTGGAAGAAAGTTCTTTGGTCTAATGAGACCAAAATTCTGCTTTTTGTCCATCACAATAGACAATGTGTATTGCTAACACCAAACACCATTGTGAAGCATGGTGGTGGCAGCACCATGATGTGGGGTCAAATAAATGCATCAAAGTGTAAGGATAATCCTGGAGGACAACCTGATGCAGTGTGCAAGAGAACTGCATCAGTTGGGAAAAGGTTTGTTTTCCACCAAGACGATGAACCAAAGTGTACAGCCAAACCTAAGCAGACATGGTTTAAAGACTACAAGGTGAATGTTCTGGAGTGCCTGAGTCAGAGTCAAGACCTCAGTCCAATTGAAAATTTGTGTCTGGACTTGAAAAAGGCAATTGACTCATGATCACCATGCAATCTGATGAAGCTTGAGCAGTTTTGCAAAAAAGAATCAAGAAAAATGTAACTGTCCAGATGTGTAAGAGTGACTAAAAACCTATCCAAACATGATTCAAGGTTGAGAAGTAATAAAAGGGGAAAACTCTTAAGCGTTGAATACTTTTTATTGGCACTGTAGCCTTAAAGACAACTCTGTGGGTTAAAAAAAACAACCTATTAGACTGCTTGCTGCTGCGGTTCGTTGCAGTGAGTGCATAGAGACTTATGTGATCACTTTTCATGATCTTCTTTCACCTCGATTGTGGCAAATGGACAGCTATGAGGACACCTTGTGCCCAGGCTGTCTCCTTAAAGGGACATTTTACTGATTTTGCACATGAAAAACAGTTTGTTTGTCACAAAGAGGAGCTTTTAAAAGTTAGAAGAGTTGTCTTTTACGTTACACATCCAACACATAAATAAGTTAAATAACTTGAATTAGAATTTTTAAAATGCCTTTTTCTTAACTCTTTAATAAATAAATGTCACTATTTTATTGAATCGTTCTGCTCAGCTGCTATTCTAGTTTATGTTAATTGACAATACCATAGTCCACTCTAAACAGATCATACAGAGCAAGCACCCTCCTTAGGGAAGGGGAAGTAGAGTGTGGACTTGTAACTAGCCTAGACGATATCATCTTTTGGCATCATCAGTTGCACAGCCTGACTCCTGCCCAAAGATGTGACTGCCCCCCTTAGGGCTGCCATCATCAGTGATTATCATGAGGGAATAGCTGGAATAGCTGTGATCTAGCGTTTTAGGAGCTTGACGTAAAATTCAAGCATCAGTAATGAGTGCAGTGTCATGTGAGTCCTCCAACATTTTTGAAGTGCAGTATTATTCGCGGCATCACTGGAAGGAAAAATCAAGGCTTATCTGAACAGCGATGTGGCCTCTGGCACCCTCTAGAAGGTTATTATAAGGCTCTTTAAAGTAGAAAGACACATTCTTTCTACATGTTTATATTCATTCCATTATCACTTTGCTCAAAGACTTTATCAATGTGTATACATCAAGTACATGAGCTATGTCACATCGTCCTGCCTGCAGCTGAGTTATGCTAGCCAGCAGAAACTGTGTCACACACCAGCGAACCATGTCTCCTTAGATTTCCAATTTAGAATCTTAGTCAGCACCCAGACTCTTGGAGTTGTATATAATGAGAGACTGAAAGAATTTGTGTTATTTTCTAGACCAGCAGAATAACCAACCTCCTCAAGTGGTAAAAACTCTGAGTGAAAAGCACATTGTGTTCATGCTGGAAGCCGCTAACTGAAGCAGTGGTCAGGTCAAGACAGCTGCCTTACTGGAGTGATGTCTAACACACTGGAAACTCACGGGAGACCAGATCTGGTTCATGTTGCCTAGAGGAGAAAAAAAGGGAAAAAGCATTTTACACATAGCAGAGCTTAAGTGTTGTAAAATTTTCCACAGCAATCAGTGGAAGACAATCCTGCAGCCATAGACACCAAGATTAGAGTGGGAGCAGCAGAGAGACACAGAATGAGAAGAATAAAGAAGAAAAGGGCATCACTATTTTGAATTAATTAAAAAAGGTATGTGCATAAAGGGTCGAATAATCTGCCAGTTAATTGTCTGGTCTATAAAGTCTCAGTGTGCATATAGGAGCACATTGACTTCATCAAATGTCTTGTTTTGTCCAACCAAGAGTCCAAAACTGAAAGGTGTAAGTGTAAGGCCAAGAAAAGTGAATTGTCATTTTTTTTAAATCTCAAACCGTCAAATGTTTGGAATTCTTACTCTACAAAGTTTTCTTTTGATCAACTTGTCAATTAGTCGCCAATCGCTGTAGGCCAAAATAGTAAAACATCAATCAAATATGGACTCTGGAACTCTGCTGCCTATTGAACCAAAATCCCGAATGAGTGTTTTATATAAGACATGACTCAAATATAATGTGAAAAGGGTCAAACTTTGTAACAAATCCACAAGTAATTATCACCAACTCTACAGTTTCCCACAGCTATGCTAAGCATTTAAGCATAAGTAATCTTCAAGCTTAATGTTTGTTTTAGGGCCCACAGCATGTTGTTTCCAACAACAGCAGAAAGGCCTGATAAACCCACTGACGACTGCCTACAGTAAAGAACAAACACACGTAGCTCGGGAACAAAGTATTTCACAGTGAAAAACCAGCTTTATGTATCAAGTTCATTTAGCTTAGAAAAATAACTTCCCCTGCTACCTTAAAAAGGTGAGTTTTGGTTGATTAGTTAGTCATCTTATGAGTTGCAAATGTGTTTAAATAGTAACTTTAAATGAATTAAATGTGAGAAAACAATTCCAATAAACTTAAGCTATCAGGTTGAATCAACTAGCCACTTACTTCACACTGATAATCTACAACCTCAGCTGTCGAAGACATTGTTAACAGAGTCAGTGCAAACACAATCTGTGGTTAGAATTGTTTTCACCAGTTTAAAAAAAGAAACAACCATAACTTATGTTTGCACACTGTCTGCATCCTAAAACTACAAAAAAACAAGAGTGTCTGGAGAGTGGGAACGCTAACACTGAATCTTGGGAAGCCTGCTTATAGGCTAGTTTGTTTCTGATGAACTTAATGTAATGAGTTGAGTGAGCTGCTTGTTCATTCAACTCATTATTTTCAGTCAAAATAGCTCAAGTCATCATAGTCCGTGTTACTAAGTTCTAGACAGGTCTGAAACTAAAAATCATCCTTTTTTTTTGTTGTTGTTGAACAGAACTCATATGTTTACTTTCCATAAAGTAGAAAAGATTAGTTGATCCATATTAAACAGTGGTGGATATAATATAGACATTTTACACTAGCTAAACCTAAACACACATCTAAAAGTGAGCAAAAACAATAATAAATACTGGACTTAAATTTGTCAAGTGGAATGAAATCTTCCAAACCATAGATACATTCAGGGGAATTGGATACCATGTTCAAAACTGACACCCCATGTGTAGTTGTTTCATCCATCCATCCATTATCTATATACCGCTTAATCCTCATTAGGGTCATGGGGGGCTGGAGTCTATCCC